CAGAGGCGGCTTCTCTGAACTGCTGGCAGCGGAGCCCCAGAGTGTGCCAGTCAAGGGGCCGGCAGGCTGTGGCTGCTGACGGACACCGTCGGCCCCCATGTGCTCGCTGGCCTCTGTGTGCGGGGGCCGATGGTGTCAGACAGCAGCAACCCTGGCCTCTGCATTGCCTTTCCCTGTGACAATGGCACCCCCGCCCTGCCTTGTCTCCCCTCACCCTGCAGGATGAGCCTCCTGCCCACTGTCCCACCCACCAGAGACCCCCTGGATCTCCCCAACCCTGTCCGGCCCCCGCAGGAGTCCCTGCCCACAAGCAACATCAAGGTGACCACGTCCACATTGGCCACACCCACCCATTCTGCCATGACCACCACAGCCACGCCCATCCAGTGGGCCACGCCCACCGAGCACCCAGTGATAAATAAGTGGGTTTTGGGTTGCAGTTTGGGCACTCAGTCTCTAAAAGGTTCGCAACCACTGTTATAGATCCACCAGAAATGTCTTTGCGTATGTATGTGCATGTATAAACTGTACAGTAAATCTGTAACAATATTATCAATAAAAAATATTTCTCTGTGATAATCACTTCTTATATGCAGTTATCTCCTTTTTTATTTGGAAAAGGAGATTCCATAAAAGTTTTCTGAAGTTCCTCTGTTCTAAGGTTCAGAATTGGTTGTCTGGCTGATATGGAAATTCCAGGATCCTACATCATATAGGGAGCTTGGTAGGATGATGAGGGCCAGACTGATGAGGGGGAAGAAGGAATTGGTGTATTCATCTTTTATTTCCCCATCCTATTTTTATTCAAGGAAGACAAAATCCAATTTATATAAGGCGTCAACAAAGCCTCCCTGAGAGACTAGCAAAGAGCTGCTCCCTTGCACAGTTCTGAAATACAATCACATTAAGCAAGCCTCTCACTGGCTCTGGGAGCAAGATCTTTCTCTGTCCTCATGATGGGGGGGATATTGAGATGTGGACCTGAAAAACTGCCTCCTACAGTCACAGCCTTCCTTCCCCAGCAGATGGGCCTTGGGGTGTGTTGCACTCTGTAGGGCCGGCTCTAGGAAGAGTTGGTGTATTCATCTTCACTCTCTCCTTTATTAAAAATATTGACAGAACTTTGGAATGAAAAAAAAAATCCATGGGGGGATGATTTAGAATTTATATTGGATTTATATTTCTCCACTGTGTAGAACAACATATTATCTTTCTTTTGACGTTTACCTCAAAACTTAGGCCAAAAGGAAGTGTGCTGATGGACCATGAGAAAACCTGGTTCATCCTCCCACACTCTTTGCTTCAAGCACTGATTTCTTCTGCCAAAGACAGAGAGGAATTCCACTGGGGATAAAGGAATGGGAGGAGGGAGAGGGGCTATGGGGTAATCCACCATCTGTTTTAACAGATGGGTCTGTCACATCAATCTAGTTTGAGCCTAAGGGCCAATTCCAGCTTTCCCCAACCTGATCCCCTGAAGACATGTTGAGAAAGGTTTTGTGATATTATGAAAATGCAAAAATCTGTTATGGTATGTCTTTCAAGCTTTTGCTCTTAGAAACTGTGGCCTTCCAAAAGAACAATGCTTTGCAATCTAGAGACCTACCCTAAATTTATAGAAGGCATGAATGGTAGAAGCATTCCTTTATTAACATTACTATTAACATTATTATACTGTAACTATTTGTTTATTTTGTTGGAATCATTAGCCATTGAAAATATAATATGATTTTAATTTCAGGGTAAACTTAATTATTAAGTAATTAAAAATCACTTAATCATGATCCCCCAGCTTTATAACTTGTCCATAGGCCTTGGAACACTATTTTAAAATAGATCTGGTGTCTGAATAATGCAGTTTAATCTCACAGTGATGTTTGTTATACTGGTACACTTTTTGACATAATTCTATTACATCTGAACAAAAAGTCCTATTCCAGTGGTTTACTAATTTGGGCTACTACTATGAAAAGAAAGCAAATTATTGGACAAAAATTGCTATCCGGAAGTCAATACACTTAGAAGACCAGCGGAAAATGTTCACTTGATCCAGTGTGTCAAAGAGAAAATCCAAGGTATATTGTTGTGTTGGTTCTTTCACCTGATCTACCTCTATAAGGTGTTTACCACAGGGTGACTATTGAAAAAATACCTTACAGTGTGTGAAAAGCAGTCTCATGGATCCATTCCTAAAGCCCATTTTCCTTAATTCTACTAACCTGCCAGCAGAATTAAAGTGCTATGTGAAAATATTAACCAGGGATTATCTTGTGGATAATACAAAATGCTTTCTTAGCAGGTTGTAAAGTCTCATATATGCTAAGAAAAGACTGGTAAGAGATTTCCATACTGGCTACCCAGAGTCACCAAATAGCAAAATATTTCATTCATATTAAAATAAGGGTATTTTAAAATAGTCATGAAGAGTTTCAATTACTCTTCATTCAGGATGACTAACGGAAGAAGTACAGTAATGCTTTATGCCATTTCCAGGAAAGAGAGATCTTAGGATTGTGAGCAGAGCCCCCCCCCCCCCCCCCCCCCCCCCCCCCCCCCCCCGCTAAAGGGCAATTTGGTAAACAGCTTTCATTCTCTTTTCTTTCAGTCCAGCCCACATGCAAAACTTTCTATGTCCACAAGAGCTTCTGGAATGTAATGATCCAACTGAAGAGCAAACTGAAAAGGAAAATGGCTGAAATATTCAAAAGATACAAGTCCTGGAAGCTGGGACAAACTGTAGCAAAAATAAGAAGCAGTAGTAATTAAAAATGTAAATATTGCTTGAGCTGACCAACAAAATAGTTGTCTTTATGTAATTTACTGGCTTTCTCTAAGGCTGGCTTATGAGCTGTGTATTTTTCTTTGCTTTATCTACAGCAGATTTTACTGAATAAGGATCAGCTACAAAAAGAATGGCATAGATTGCTGTATCCATATTAAGTAATATGAAATAAATAAATAAAATCTTCAGATAGATATGAATACAGACTCAGCAATCACGCAAATTAGGTGTATTTTATCACAGATAAAGGAAATTAGATGGCAAATCTTTGCAAACAATGCACAGGAAATACAATGATTCTGAATGTTTATTCTCCAGCACTGTATGATTTATCACTTCTTTGATATACTAAAGCTTATTTTATTAATACTTGCAAAGGGACAGCTAATGAGACGAGGGTTAAACACAAGAAATAGAATATTTCTTAATTGTACCTCTGCAGCACTCTATAACACAAGTCTTTTTATGTTCCAAGCAGCTTCTACCTCTTCTTTCCTTGTGTTCACTTTCTATTCATTCGCTGCATATATTGAACAACTTTACTCCACTAGTTCAGGCTAGCTTCTTTCAGATGTATCTTTTTTTTCTCTTCCTTTCACAGACATACTCCAGAGAATAGTTACTGTACTCTGCCACTCATTATAATTTTAGCAAGCATGACGAAAAGTGCAGCCAGTTGTTTTACGGCAAATATGCTTACGCTCATTTCTTTGCAAACTCTAATGCAAAAATTTACTCTGCAAAATAACGCTGTTGTTCACATACCACCAATCAGGAGATAAATGCATTGTACTGACATAGAAAAGTCATTTGTCCTGGAATGCATGACTTAATCTCTAAACTTTTGAACCAAACACTTCTGAATTGAGGGCACCCAGGAAAAGGGAAATGAAGACAGACTGGTTAAACTAGCTAGTTCACACTTTCAGGCCCAAGTGGAATATTATTTTAAACCAGAAGCATACTGAATACTCAAAAGGAAAACAAGAAGACTTTACATTTTTATCTGAATTGTGCCAAGTTCTAATATTAAGGTGACCAACTGTCCTCCTTTAGGGAGGACGGTCCTCTTTTTGTAAGTTCTGTTCTCCCTCAAAAAGTGTCCTCCTACATATGCTCCTTTTCAATATTTGAAGACTAATCTGCAGGGCTTTTTTTCCTCTCATAGAATGCTCAGAACGGCGTTCCGGCACTTTTTTTTGATGTTTTTTTTTCAACTTTTGCATGAGCAGTGCTACTCCCGCTATTGGCTTTTGAAAGCCAATGGGAATTGCTGCTGAGCGCACCAAAACACCCGGCTGGCAAATTTTGCACATGCAAGTTGTCTGTATTATTGTTGCAATGAATAAAATGTTTATTTTATTTATGATATTTTTTTCTTCAATTTATTTTTGTCCTCCTTTTCATTGTAAAAAACTTGGTCACCTTACTAATATAGCTTATGTTCTTCTCTGTGTTCAATCTGCTTGATGGACCAGAAGTCCAATGCTACTGGCTGTGCATAAAGGCTCCATCATTTTCAAATTATTTATAATACCACATAAAACATTTGGGAACTCAGGCTATTTGTTTTTCTTTATTATATCTGAAGATAATATGTATTTTACAGGCCATTTGTGTGGAAAAAACATGTAACTTTTCATTGAGAGATAAACTAACAATAATCTCTGAACACCCTCTCAGTGTTTTGCTGTGCTAATCTGCACACTGTTTCTTTGTGCATGTGCATTTTATAATACCAAGAATAAAAGATGCTGGACATGTTTTGGAACAAATCTACAAATATTTAATTTCCTTAAGGCTCTTTCCCATAATATTTTCAGTAATAAGGAAGCTACTATGATTTAAGCCATGCCCTCCTAGTATATTTAGCTTTGATAGTCACTTGTGTTTTTTCCCACAGTACACCAGATACTAGATTGATTTGATGTAACATAGCAAAGAAAAAAAAGGTATCTCCCAGAAATTCAAAAGAATGGTCCCACTGCTTTGCTGAATTGCAGGATAGATCCTGCTATGACAAACTTCAGGAACAGCACCCACACACTGAAGGGAGCTCTCTGCTTGGAGTAATTATTTATGCAAAGCAGAAATGGCACCAATCAATGAATCTATCTGTATTGTTTAATACAATGGTAAATATATTTCTCATAGTAAATAGGTATTTTAAAACTACTCAGAAATGGTGATCACACAGCAATTTAAGTTAATGACCTACCTGAGAGACCTTTCTGACAACATCGCTGCCCACACCAAGTCCCTGCACAAAGGAACGGGCCGCAATAAAGGCCCTTGTTGCCTTGAGCTTCAGGTCCCTTGGAACCTCTCCAAATGGCTTATGCTGCTCCGAGTGCTTCACTATGCAGTCCATATATTCGTCCGGAAGCTGGTACTGGGGATTCATCAACTTGAAGAGCCGCTCTAGCAGGCGAGTCCAAAATTCATTGAGGGCTTCTTCTAAGTTGATGTTGGGGCCTCGATAATAATGCCGCAGCTCACTATACAAGTCTTTGAAAAGCTTTATGTTCTGGAGATAAAGGTCTCCATACATACCAGGAAATGTGTCATAAAGTGCTTTCTCTGACTTGTTTAACAAATCCTGGAAGTAACCTGAAATCAAAGAAGTAGGAGAAATAAGTCACTAGAAGAATCAGGAATTTCTGGAATGAAATTAACAAGAATTAAAGACATCTTCACATTAATTTATTGCACCATTACTAAAAGGAAATAAAAAAACTGGTATGTTAAGTGCACTGATATAGTTAAGCACAGAAAATGAATACGTGTCATTTGCATTTCGTTGTTTGACTGTATAGATGCAAAACCAGATTCACATTCAGAACTGTGAAAGATTTGTCCAAAAAGCTCATGTCCAAAATTATACTTCCTCAACATTCCCATGAATGTGTAAGATATAACACTACATTCATCCTTATTTATTGTATATTTGGAAATCAGGCATTGGTGAAATTTTATCCATGTGAAATATGCCCAAATACATTTTAAATGAAATGGTAACACATAACAATTACATTTAAATTTGATCATATTGCTTAATTCCCAATATAACATATGCAAATCACTATATAAATCAGTATGATAAAAGGTCCTGACAGAAACATATGTGCATAAGCTTACCATGCTATTTAAGAGAATATACGGTAACAATAATAAATACATTTAGAAGTTCTAAGTATGAAGACTAAAAGGTTTCAATATTTGCTCTTGATATTAAAAGTGGACCTTTAGAAAATTATTTGACTACTTACACTTTTATTTTTTTTTAAAGCTACAACATGCTGGTTCATTACCACTGATCTAACTTTTACTAAAAGAGAGCAAATACTATATCCTTTCAAAGCATTTTTCCATGGTGCTAAGACATTATTTCCTTTTAGATATTATTTATGAATATTTATACTAAGAATAGCAGGTCACTAAATACTATAATGCTAGTACACCTTAGTGCAAGGCCTTCCCTTGTAAAACAGAAAAATAAGAACTAAGAACTCCCTACGCAAAATTAAGGGAATCATCCTAGGTTGCAGCCAATTGTAGATCTGTGAAACTCTTATTTAGTTTTATCAGTTACTTGACAATATCTACCAACCAGAATCAGCTGCAAAAAGCACAAACCTGGCCTGAAATCACACAGATATGGTTTATTTGGGTTTTGCTCAGTGAGTTGTCAATATAAACATTGTGGTTTGTAAACAATGATTTATAGCTAAACATGTGGTATGACTCCAGCTAAATGTAGATTATTTGGAAAAGAATGGTTAAATAAGAATCTTGCATCAATGCATACCTAGAATGAAAACAAATGTATCTCAAAGGACATTGTAAAAGATTTTAGCTTTACAACTGCATTGAATTCAGTCATTTCACACAGAAATCTGTTACTATCCTAGAATCCCAAGCATTCTTCATTTCAGTTAGCTCAGTTGGAAAAAAATGTTGAAAGATGCCACAATTACCGTATATTCCGGCGTATAAGACGACTTTGGAGAGCATCGAAACAGCCTCTGAACTCGGGGGTCGTCTTATACGCTGAGTCGTCTTATACGCCGGAAATACCGGTAGTTTCCGGCGTATAAGACGACTTTCTAGGCATGCGACTTGGCGTCGATCGTCTTGTGACCCGGCGTCGAACTAGGGGGTCGTCTTATATGCCGGGTCGCCCTATACACCGGAATATACGGTAAAAAAGTAACGCTATTTTAAAGAACTACTACACATTACAGTCTTATCTTAGTTTATCTTATCTACTTTCTTCTGTGAAATGCAATTATATCTATTTTTTCTTTGAAATTAGACATAGAGATTATGAAATGTTGAGTTGCCAGTCTGTATTATTCTATTGAATCAGACCAAGTATTTTTACATATAATAGTATCTGAATGGAGTAGCAGCATTGACTGATATTAGTATCAATTAACAATAGCACCATTCTTTTTGACTCTTTCAGACCACAGCTATTTATTTATTTAAGAACATTTATATGGCCGCCAAACTCACTCTCATTGACTCCGGGGGGCTTACAAGGATATAACCCCAATACAAAAAGAAATAAGCCCCCTATTCCCCTGGCAATAACATCAAATGAGCCTGCTTGATGGGCTGCATATCACTCTGGGGTTCCTAAGCCTGTTGGGGACCCCAGAATAATTTTGCTATAGTCGGTCAATCATATTTCTAATACAAAGAGACCCTATGCAGTTATGTATGCAGATTATGAGGAAGAAATATTAATATTTCTGCCATGCTCAAGGGGTGGCTGAAGTGTTTTGCCTTAAAATTATTCAGCTCAGAAATCATTCATAGCAGCAAAAAGTTCCTGTAGTCCTTCAGAAAGCACTGCTTCTTGAACAAATAGTTAAAATGGTATATCTCATTTGTTTTTGCAATTTTTAAACAATCTATTCATTCTAACAATATTTCCAAACTAGGGAACAGTTAAAATCATTTGTAAGTGCTAAACAATTCACAAACTGGTGATGATGGTGATGAATTGATGGAATCCATCCATAAAAGAGAAAATATTTCACAGTATCTTAAATGTTAATGCTGATATACTACATTAAAATTGAGCAGATTGCTTGGCCATCACCTTAATAGGTGATACCAGAGGACCAAACAGTTAAAAAGATACATTTAGGTCATTGATTCCAGCTCCTTTCTTAATGCAGGAATCCAAATTAAAGCATTCTAAATAGATTCCATCCAGTGGAATATCACCTCTCTGGGAAACTGGTTCCACCATCTATCTGTTTTTATTATTAGGGTATCAGTTCCGGTCTGCTTTCCTATAACTTTTATCCATTATTTTGTATTCTGGACTTTCTAATAATATAGATAATGGGTCTTTGATTTCTATATGGCATTCTTTCAGATATTTGATGAGTGCAAGCCACTACTGAAAACAAATTCCAAGAAAATTGCAGGGACTTGTTCAGGCAGTTTCTGAGAATCAGACATTGAACAGAAGAATATGAATAGAAGAATATATTTATATATGTATGTATGTATGTAGGTAGGTAGGTAGGTAGGTAGGTCTTTGGTTATTCGGGTTTTCTCCTGCGTAAAATTGGAAGTGTCTTGGCAACGTTTCGACGAAGTCCCATTCGTCATCTTCAGGCTGGTGTTTTCAGCTTTGTGCTTCGAGGAGCAATGTTTCAGCATGAAGCTGAAAACACCAGCCTGAAGATGACGAATGGGACTTCGTCGAAACGTCGGCAAGACACTTCCAATTTTACGCGGGAGAAAACCCGAATAACCAAACACCCGCGAAAATCTCAGAATGAATATATATATATATATATATCCCTATTCATGTGATTTTTCTTAAGACTAAACATATCCAAGTCCTTCAATCTATTTTCATAGAAGATTTCCAATAGCTTGATAACCCTTGTTGCCTGCCCTTCTTTGATCATATTAAAATTATGTGATTCTTTTTAAAAGTTCAGAACTTTGATTATTATTTCATGTGATTTGGAAGTCATTCACCTGTTGATATAGCCTCCTCTTCCTCCTCTGCCATATCACACTACTATTCCAGATCTTTTTGCACAAATAGCACTACCAGGTCAGCTATTCCATCCTACCCCCATCTATTATTTATGTTTTTGAAGTGAAGAATTTTATATTTGTCTTTGTTAAATTTCAATGTTACTTTGAACTATTTCTCTAATTAATGAAGATTATTACTTCTTACCACCCAAAAATATTGAAGGTTATATGACCCAGGTCTGATCCTTATGGTACTCTACTCAATACTCTCCAATATATTGATCTCTTTTTAACTACAATAAGTGCCCCAAGAAAATCATTTTGGAGAATCTATGCAAATGGACAAGACATAATCTTCTTTTAGATAAATAAGACATCTCTTGAAAGAACTATATCACAAGGCAGGTTTATGCATGTACTTCAACTATAAAGACTGCTTTTAACTCTCTTGTGTAATTTGTTTGTAAAGATTAGTAGCTCTTCTACATTCACTAATGCAATATCTACAATAGTTTCTAACAGGTGAGAACAATTTCTCTGATTTAAGAAAATTCATCCAATCTTTTAATTAAATTAAGTCTCCAAGGATCTAATAACTAGGTTATTACAACAAGAAAATATATTACTTCTAATATAAAAGCAGAGAAGGAATAACATAGGAGAAATATGTGAAGGTAACAAACAAGCTGATATATATTAGGTTCAGATTAGCTTCCTTTTATCATATGGGAAAAGTTTAGGAAGCAGTCTTTGCCATAACAGATTAATGACTGGTCCCTTCTACTAGAGGTTGGAGAGAATGTAAAACTTATTACTAATAATGAGATTAGAGAATTCATGTGTAGTATGTCCAGTTCAATTCATGTCCAGTTCACTGAAAATTTTGAGATGCAAAGTGTGCCCTATGAAGATAATGGTTGTAAAGACCCTGATTGTGATATAAATATTTCAGAATGGATTTACCACGACAATATCATAACTATGATATGGAGCCATCAGCAGCCCAATAGAAATAATTAAACTGATAAAAATCAGACCACAATTAGTCTAAAGTAAGAGGCTGTTCCAAAATACACTAGACTCCCAACTGTAGGATAAAAACCCTCTTTTAGCAATTCTCATGAATAAAGGAAGATTGGTCACAGTATGAATTGTATGAAGCCTAAAATATTTCTTCTGAAATATTTTGAAGTATGTTATTTATGGCTCTGCAGCTCCTCCTTCTTCTCTTTACCATCAGTTTTCTTCTATCTGCTATTTAGGGTTAGTTAATGAATAGCTGGCCTAGAAAAAAAAAGATTGTTCTTGATAAGAAGAGAAGAAAACAAATATTAAGGAAAGGTGGGATCAAAGAAATCATTAGAATTTCCTTGGAAGAGCTATTAATTAAGGGGGCAGATGAAGATGGCAAGAATTTATGGATGGCTTATGGTTATCAGGATTTGAGACAATTTCATGGCACCTAACTAGCTAAGGGAGAGCTCCATTTTTAAAGCTTTATGAAGACAATTTCAAATTAAATAGAAATTTAAATTGTGTGTGCATATGTCTGTATATGTATTTATATCTGAGAATGTATGTATGCAAAGAAATTTACT